TAGAGTCAATGGCAGACGGCAGAAGTATGTGCCGGGGTCAAGATGGTCAGAGATAGCCTTTTTCATGGACCCCAGGAGCTGGGGCTGCCATGGGGCACCCCCGAGCCACTGACTCTTCTGTTATTAGTGCTTGTCCCCAACCCCCTGAAGTCACCTCATTAACATAAACCTTTGGGTTTATCAAGAATAATTTACCAAGAATAACTTTAGCGTATTTCTTTCTTCTTGGTCTTTGGTGACAGGGTTTCACACTTAGCCTAGGCTAGCAAGAGTCCTTCTACTGGACTGTATTGAAGGAAGAGAACCAACTTTTACAGGTTTCCTCTGATGTCCATACACATGACTGTGGCATGTATATTGCCCCCCACACACAAGTAAATAAATCTTAAAAAAACCAACTCTGAATTGAGAGTAGAGGACCATGAAATAACCTGTTCAGTGGAGTTCTGAGTCCTCTTCACCGTATCTTTTTATTTGTTTTGTTTTTAGATTTTTAATTTTTTATTCTATCTGTATGAGTGTTTTGCCTTCATGTATGTGCACCACACATGTGCCTGGTTCCCATGGAGGTCAGAAGAGGCGAGAACAGGATCCCCTGGAACTGAAGTTACTGGTGGCTGTGAGCTACCGTGCGGGTGCTGGGAACAACCCAGGTCCCTTGCAGCCCCTCTTCACCGTGTCTTCTCAGGAAGAATTGTCAACAAACATGACCTAATGAGTTGGCTGAGTAGATACTGCACATATATGTAATTTATACAATCGTGTGTGTGTGTGTGTGTGTGTGTGTGTGTGTGTGTGTTCACGTGAGTATGTATTTTTTCCATCTTTTTTATAGCGAGTCTGTGCCAGAGCCCCCAGATGGTTGACAGACCAGTCAACAAACAAACGACATACCCAACATGGGTATTAACTACAAGAGGAGGGAGGTTAACGGGCCAGTGAGTGGCCGAGATGAAGAGGTCGTGACGCTACCCTCTGAGGAGGTCGGGAACTGTGAACTGTGAGCTGCACATGGGGAGCCAGTGCTCGGGTCTGAGGACGCTGAGGAAGATGAGCAAGTGTGGGTGTCAGTGTGATGGGGACAGGTGTGGTGCCCGGCTGAGCGAGGATGCTGGGGAGGTGGAGAGGCCGGAGCACAGTGGGAGGGTGAAAGCTGGCGTATGCGTCCCCGGGGTTGCCCGCATGTATGCCAGTGTTCGTACGGCAGAAGAGACCGGGCTCTGCAGTTCACAGAGGACGTCAAGGCCTGAAAGGAGGGTCCAGTCGTCTCAGACAGTGCTGTCCAGGGCTCTGTATCAGTTATTTTCTCATAGCTCTGAAGACATTCCTGATAAAAGCAAATCCACGAAAAGAAGGGTGTGCTCACCTTTAACCCCAGCACTCAGGGGGCAGAGGCAAGCGATCTCTGGTCAGGCCAACTGGGCCTATATAGTGAGTCCCAGGCCAGCCAGGGCTGCAGAGTGAGACCTTGTCTCAGTAAATGGATAGCCGGAGGGATTTCATTGGCTCACAGTGTGAGTACAGTCCATCAGGTGGAGAACGAGGAAGCAGCACAAGGCAGCTGTCACTGTGTCCACAGGAAGCAGAGGTGACTGCTGTGCTCAGCACTTCCTCTTCTATCCAGTCGGGACCCCAGCCTTGGGATGGTGCTGCCCACTTCAGGGTGGCTCTCCCTCCTCAGTTAAACATGTCTAGAAACTCCCTTAGGCACATCCAGAGATGCGTGTCCATGGTGATTCTACATCCAGCCAAGTTGATGATGCAGATGAAACATCATAGGCTCCCTGTAGGGACTGGCCATGAGGATGGAGAGAGGTGGGGAACGGGTTCTGATGAAACCACTGTCTTCAGTGAGCCTGTTTATATTTAAATTTGACTCAAAGTGAAAATTGGGCCCACAACATGGCTCAGTGGGTAATCTGGCTGCCACCAAGCCGGGGGACCTCAGTTCAATCCCTAGGACCCACACATAGAAGAAAAGAACCAACTCCTACAAGTTGTCTTCTGATCACAACATGTGTCATGACACACACACACACACCACACACACACACCACATGTAACAAAACATTTTAAAGTAGACATTAGTTTATTTTAAAAGCTGAAAACCATTCTCCTTTGTACTCCTATAACACCATGAAGGCCGGACACATGCTCAGCCTGTGGCCTCGCAGCCCTGTCCTCCCATAAGAAAGATGAGTGTGTGTGACTCTAACTCGAGGTACAGGACAGACATGTAGGGTTTGGGGTGTGGCTCAGTTGGCCAAGTGCTTACCTAATCTGCATAAAACCCTGGATTCAGTCTCCAGCACTCCTGACTTCCTAAACCAGGTGGTCCATGCATGTAATCCTAGCACTCTGGAGGTAGGAGCCAGAGGATCAAGGTCATCCTCAACTATTTCATGAGTTTGAGGCCATTCTGGGCTGCATGAAACTGATCATGTGTCAAAAAAAAAAAAAAAGTCAGAATAATCTGGAAACATACAAGTACCTATTTTCAGTAGCAAATGAATACATAGGCATATTCTGATTTTTTGCTTTGTTTTGTTTTGTTGAGACAGGGTTTCTCTGTGTAGTTTTGGTGCCTGTCCTGTATCTCGTTCTTGTAGACCAGGCTGGCCTCGAACTCACAGCTCTGCTTCCAAGTGCTGAGATTAAAGGCATGCACCACCACCGCCCGGCCTCATAGGCATATTCTGAATGTAGCTTGGTGGTAGCAATACACAGGCCCTGCTTTAATCCCTAGAACTGAAGGAAAATCAGGGAGTAGGGAATGATGTATTAGTCAGGCATGACAGCACATACCTGTAATCATAATCGCAGCATGCAAGAGGCCAAAGTAGAAGGATCATGAATTTGAGATTAGCCTGGGCTACAAAAAAAAGTCTCAAAAAATAATGGGTATATCCATACCATTGAATGGCATGTGCTATTTAAAATGACAATGCATTTGTACACTTATTTGCATCTGTATATGTGTGAGTGTGTGTGGTACATGTGTGCACGTGCATGCTCCTGCACAGGTCAGAGGAGTACAGATGTCCTGTCTCTCTCCCCACTTATTCCCTTGAGACAGGGTCTCTCACTGAGCCTGGAGCTAGGCTGACTTCGAGCAAGTCCCAGTGAACCTCTTGTCTCTGCCCCAACAGAACTGGGTTCCAGGCAGGGGAGACCACACCTGGCTCTTTTATGTGATAGCTGGGCATTTGAACTTGGGTCCTCATGCTTGCCCAGCAAGTGCTCTTGCCCACTGGGCCATCTTCCCAGCCTGTTTATGTACAGTTATATGTAGCTAAAAATTAGTCAAAACGAATGCATGGCAAATGAAATCAGGAGCTGGTCTCTGACTGTGAAAACAAGGTTCTGGTAGAGATGGAGCTGATAAAGTCCGGGTGAAACTGTTAGGGCTTATGCCTTTTAGGACAGAGGAAGACAACAGATCCCATGGTAAAAACAAGAGTAAAGTAGTTCTGAGAACTCCGAAACTGCCACCTTTTCTAAATGACTTAATCCAACAGACAGGCAGTTATGAGTCGCTGACCTCCTTCTGTGGGCCGTGGATGCCAAGAGCTTTGGTTTCGGGGTTGTAAGGGGCGCTCAGATCCACCCAGGAGCACAGCCCCTGCACCAGGTGCTAGGGCAACCACCCGAAATGTGCTGTTGCCCCCTAGGCTGGCCTGAAATTCACAGCAGTCCTCCTGCGGGAGCCTCCCAAGGGCTGAGATGACAGCACCCACTCACACACTCATCTTAGGTGCTTTGGGGACCGTTCTCAGGCCGTAAACTCTGCGCCGTCCTTGTCCGGGGTGTGGATCTTGAGTGGAGACTTGCCTGAGGTCAGACAGCTAGCGTGTGAGAGGAATGAGATGGGAAGCCGGAGAAGAAGTTCGGGGACTGGAAAAAAGCCAAGGGAAGCCTTATTACCCTTGTAACCTCAACACGTAGGAGGTAGAGGCAGGAAGGTTATCTGGACTGTACAGTGAGCCCAGGCCAGCCTTTGCTACTTAGGAAGACTATGCAAATATTAATTAAAATTTTGAAATGAGCAGGAGGGCTCACCACAAGTAGCAATTTTTTCCTTCCGTCTATCATTCTTCTCCCCTCTGCCTTCTCCCTCTGCTCCTTTCCTCTTCCAGACTTTCTGTTTGTCTCTGGCATGTCTGACCTCCACCATCCCCAACTTTTCACCCGAATGTTCCATCTATTCGGCCACCCCTTGAACTCTGTGTTTGCCCGTGAAGCAGCTTCCCTGTTCACAGGAAGAGTCTCCACGGTTTGTAGGATTTCATCTGGTCCTCCAGGTAGACACGCGGCTCTCTCTCTGCCTCCCTCGGAGGAAAGCTATGAGAATCACGAACACAACAGTGACCTGGACGCTCTGCCCAGGAGGCCCCTGCCCCCATTCTCATCTTTCTCCTTTCTGTGGCTGAAGTTCACTATGTTGCCCAGGCTGGCTTCAAACTCAATCCGATCCTCCTGCCGTAAGTCTCTCAAGTGCTGAGATTACAGCATCCGCCCCACACACCCTTGCATTCATCTTGGGATGTTTGGAGGACAGTTCTCTGACTGTGGGCTTTGTGCACATCAGATAGCGTGGCTAAGGCCTGGGTCTGTAGGGCAGAGAGAGCAGGGAGACTCACCTGCTGGAGCGTGTGGCGGCAGTGACTAGAGAGGGCTGGTGTACAGACAGACAGGCAGTGCCTGGGAGCCAGCGTAGAGCACGCAATGCACTGAGGTGTGCTCCAGGACTGAGATCTGCAGCATCTGGAGTCTGGGGCTCCATGTGCATTTTTCTTAAAGTGGAAATTGGCATTTGGGGCAGGCTCTGCCGTTCTTCCCACCCATTCCCCCCACACATGAGATAGCGGGATGCTGGACCAAGGGGACCTGATCCTCAGGCCATCTCTGAGGGGCATCTCTCAGGGCCCCCTCTGTTACTAGTGTTTCCTTGGCTGATGGTTTCTCTCTCTCTCTCTCTCTCTCTCTCTCTCTCTCTTCAGGGTCAAGTGTGGATCAACGGCTTTAACCTTGGCCGATACTGGCCCAAACAGGGCCCACAGGTGACCTTGTTTGTGCCGAGGCACATCCTGACGACTTCAGCCCCAAACAACATCACAGTCCTGGAGCTGGAGCTGGCTCCGTGCAGTGACGGGACCACAGAGCTGTGTGCAGTGGAGTTTGTTGACAGGCCAGTCATCGGCAGGTCCCTGGCCAACAGGATTCCAGGTTGGTCTGATGAAGACCCATGGCTGAACCCCCTGTGATGACTGAGCCTCTAGGACCACAGCCCTGCACGGGCTGCATGGATCATCCTTTTCTTGCTACAGTCGAAGATAAATTTATGGGGGGGGTGTCCTTCTGGTGTCTCTGCAGCCTTACGTTGCCTGACCTCCCACTCTTGCGGCCACCAGGAAGGCTGAAGGGAGTAGTCATCACAGGTACACACACAGCTGGAGTGTTGTGCAGAGTTGGAACAAAACTTGAATGATGTCTCTTGGTTTGATTTGAAACAATCATGTCGTCTTTCCGTTGAATAAAATTTGTACTCAAGTGGCGATGGTGGTGATGTTGCTATCAGGCAGGTATTAAACTCCATGGTCTGAGTGAAATCTCAACTAGACTTGAGTAGGCTGGGTGAAGCCACTTCACTAGCTTGAGGTTCGAAGTGGGTAGCAGAGAAGCCTGGTTTGGGCTAGCGAACGGCTGCTTTTCTGACCCTGATTTGACTGTTTCTGAATCTCTATGCTATCTACTAGGTAGGAAATCTATAGAAACCATCTAAATGATTAACAGTTGCTCCAAGTAGGTGGTACAGTCCCTCTACACAATTGAATAGGGTTGTGTGTGTGTGTGTTCATGTATGCATGCAGATGCATGTGTATGCATATATGTGTGTAGGTCTGAGGTCCATGTTGGGTGTCATTGCTCAGGAATGCCTTAGTGTCTAGGCACATGTAAGATTTATAAAATATAATACTGCTTGTATTTGAGACCCTGCTAATGTGGGGCTGGGATGTAGCTACGTTGGCAAAACATGTTTACCATGCAGGAAGCACGTGGGTTCCGTCCCTAGGGCTCCACAAAACCAGGCATGCTAGTACACACCTGTAGCAGCATTCAAGAAGTGAGACAGGATCCAAGTTCAAGGTTTTTCTCAGCTACATAGTGGAGTCAAGGCCTTGAGGTACAAGTAACCATGTCTCAAAAAAAAAAATGATTATATCTGAATGGTAAACATTTGGGTAGTTGGTCCCTTTTTCTAACCTATACTTTAAAATGGGGGGGTGTGCAACCACATCCATATACAGACACTCATGCTATAGCATGCATGTGGAGGTCAGAGGACAATCTTGAGTGTTGAAACAGGATCTTCTGTTCGACACTCACAGCGTACTGCAGACTAGCCTAGAAGTTTCGAGCCTTCTCCCGACTCCTCCCCTCCCCCCACAGGAACACGAGGATCATACTCTTGCACCCAGCCTTTACACGGGTCCCAGAGGTTCAGACTCGAGTCTTCATGCTTGTTTGGCAAGGGCTTTTACCCACTGAGCCGTTTCCATAGCCGCCTTTTGTCAGATGAATTACTAAACGGTTTGATTAATAAAAACCTAGAGTCAGATATTGGGGTTAAATCTGAGAGATCAGAGGAACAGGACAAGCCACCACCAACCTTACCTCACCGTCTCTTCAGTCTCCAAAGAGACCTACTTCCTGTGTACCCACACCTATATGCCTTTCTGTCCCTGCCATCTCACTTCCTCTCTCTGCCCAGCTACATCACTTCCTCTTCCTGCCCAGCTCCGTCACTTCCTGTCTGTCTGTACAGACCTTTATGGTTAATTAGTGTTGGAATTCAAGGCATGTGCCACCACACCTGGCTCTGTTCCTAGTGTGGCCTTGAACTCAAAGATCTGGATTGATCTCTGCCTCCCGAATGCTGGGATTAGATGTGTACCACCACTGCCTGACTTCTGTGTTTACTGTAGTGGCTGGCTTTTTCCTCTGATCCCCAGATAAGCTTTATTAGGGTGCACAATACATTGAGGGACACAATATATCACCATAGTCTTTTGTTTTGTTTTGTTTTGTTTTGTTTTAAATAAAGTCCCATGTAGCCCAAGCTGGCCTTGAGTTCATCATGTAGCCAAGGATAACCATTTTGTTTTTGTTTTGGGTTTTTTGTTGTTGTTGTTGTTTTTCGAGACAGGGTTTCTCTGTGTAACAACCCTGGCTGTCCTGGAACTCACTCTGTAGATCAGGCTGGCCTTGAACTCACAGAGATCCACCTGGGATTAAAGGCATGCGCCACCACCACCCACCTGCCAAAGATAACCTTTAACGTCTTCTGATCCTCCTGACCTCACTTGATCACAAACATGCACCGCCATGCCATTTTCAGGCTATGCTGGGCATGGACCCCAGGGCTTCATGCGTGTTGGACAGACACTACTGACTGACCCACAGCCCCAGGCCTCTTTTCCCCATTGTCCAGTGCCATTTTCTGTTTGCCGGTCTGCCCATCTCTGTTTTTTGATAATTCCAGTTTATGCTAAATTAAATTGCTTGGCACTGGTCTGAGCCTGGGGGTCCACTTTTCCCCAACCAGCCCAGTGTCCTCTGTCAAGTGACAGGAACAGCAAACTGTTTCCTGTGATCTTTATTTCTTCCTTCTGTGAAAAATCAAAGGTCATTTTCTGAGTCACAATGAGGATCTGTCTAGGCTATGGTGCAATACCACACGTGGGCTGCAGGAACATCAGGTGACTGTCCAGGGTTAGGAGGAAAGAAGCTGCTGACTCTAGGTGACAGCGTCCCTGCCCCTGAATGTCAGAGCAGCCCCTTGGCTTCCCTTGTCCCTCAGACAATCTGGAAATTTGCATTGAGAATTCTATGCCATCCCCACCAGACACTGGTTTGTTTGTTTTTCAAGACAGGGTTTCTCTGTGTATTCCTGACTGCCCTGGATCTCTCTCTGCAGACCAGGCTGGCCTGGAACTCACAGAGATCTGCCTGTCTCTGCCTCCCGAGTGCTGGCATTAAAGGTGTGCACCACCACAGCCTGAGGGTCTTTCCCAAGTTTGAGGAAATGTCCCACAAACTTAGGCCCTCCAGACTCCTGAACTTACAGAATGTCCCCAAAAGCTAAAAACCAGGTCACTGGACCAAGGATGTGGCTTGGCTGCTTTGCCTGGCATGCATGAGAGCTGGGTTCCATCCCCATAACTGAAAGAACAGGGTATTGTCAGGCACCCATGTAATCCTAGCACTCTGAAGTGGAGGCTGCAGGAGCCAAAGTTCAAGGTCATATCTACATAGCAAGTTCTAGGTCAAAATAAAATTAGGGATAATACTAACAGGCCAGACTTTGTAATGGAAAAAACTCATGTTAGTCTCTCCCACCCCCCTTAATAACTGGCGTCAAGAAAGTGGCTCCCTTACATGCCGTGGTCTCCTCAAGTGTGGTCCCCACTCGGTGGGCTTTTTGGATTGCATCAATGCTGGAAGCATCTCAGCTATCGCCTGCCACAGAGCATGCTGTTCTAGTTTCATTCTGTTGTGTTAGCGCCCTGGCAAAGACAGCTGGAGAGAGAAAAGCTTTGTTTCAACTCACGGTTCCCTTCCTTCAGGGTAGTTGAGGTGGCAGGAGCTTGAAGCTAGTCACATACCTCACCATCATACACAGAGAGGTGGGTGCATGAGTGCCTGCTTGCTTAAGCTTAGTTCAATTTTACCACATTGTGCTGTTTGAGACCCCTGCCCAGGGAATGGTACCACCCACCGTGGGCTGGGTCTTCCCACATCAATTAATTAGACAGTCGGTCATAGACATGCCCAAAGGCCACTACAGTCAACCCCTCCTCACCAAGGCTCGCTTCTCCCAAGTGAATCTACATTGTGTCCAGTTGACAAAGTTCAACAGCACACACATGTTCGCTGGTTCTTTCCATCATGTCCTCCGCCTAAGCAGGGAAGCCAAGCAAGGGCACCCGAGATGGTTCTCCACATGGCTCTTTCAGTTCAGCAACATGGCGCTGCTCAGCCACTGGGCTAGGCAGAGCCTGCAAGCAAAGGAGTCTGTCCATGAGGAGCCATGATATGAACCAAGGACTGGAGGTCGGGGGAATGGCAGCATCCAGAGAGACCATGAAACCACGACCTGGGACCGTGGTGGACACTCAGCCTATGGAGAAGGCTCCAGGCCCGGGATTGGCCTCCAGGGCTCCAGTGTGTCCCTCTTCGGGGTTCTGGTTCCTAAAACCACTGTGCTCTTGTTCTCAAGCAGCAAGGGTGACTTTCTGGCTCCAGGACAGTGACTTCCTGCCCACTGGGCATGTGTCACCATTACCTGCTGCTTTGATGGTGTCTGTGGATGTGTAGCAAGACACTGAAGGAAGCTGGAAGAGACACAAAGCAACTACTGTTCTCTTGTATTTGAAACAGGGTCTCGTGCAGCCCAGGCTGGCCTCAAGTTCACTATGTAGCTGAGGATGACCTTGAACTTCTGATCCCCCTGACCCTACCTGAATTACAAGTGTGAACCACCATGCTTGGCTTCATGCAATTCTGGGAGTCAAATCCAGGCTTTGTGTGCATGCTAGGGAAACTGTCTACCAGCAGAGCTACATGGAGCAGACAAAATGGCCAGCCCAAGAGGGGCCTTTTGTCTTTCCTTTCTTTTCTCTCTCTCTCTCTCTCTCTCTCTCTCTCTCTCTCTCTCTCTCTGAGACATAGTGTTGGCTGTCCTAGAACTCACAGAGATCTGCCTGCCTCTGCCTCTAACCCTAACCCAAGGGCTGGGATTAAAGGCCTGCATCACTGCACCCGGCAATAGAGGCTGTTCTGAAAAACTGGTAACAGTATTCAGTTGCAATTTTTGCATCTGTCTGTCCATTTCACTGACCGTTTAAGACTCTGATATAGCTGGGCAGTGGTGGCACACACCTTTAATCCCAGCACTTGGGAGACAGAGCCAGGTGGAACTCTGAGTTCGAGGCCAACCTGGTCTACAGAGCGAGATCCAGGACAGGCACCAAAACTACACAGAGAGACCCTGTCTCAAAAATCCAAAAAAAGACTCTGACCGGAATTGAGTCCTATTCATTTTGGGTCCAACCCCATCAGCAAAGGACAGGGCTTGATCCAGACTCGGTTCACTTGGCTTCTATTTTACAGTGAGGATTCCTTGGGTCCCTTCAGCTTGCCTTGGCCCCTGGTGAACTCACCAGATGGAAAGTGATAAGGACAGAGACCATGAGCACAGGCTAGGGATGTGCCCCGCCAGCCGCACACTGGTGTGAGAAGCACCAAGCTAGGTTTCTTTGTTTCTTATCTGTTGGTAAAATCTTTCAGTCAGGGTTCTGACGGGCGGTGCCGTCTATCCTGTGTGCTTCCTCCTTGCTCTGAATTTCACTAAGCAAAGAGACTTTGTCTCTGGAGGCTTTGTTGTGTCTACCCTGCCCCCTTTCCTGTGAACTTTGGAACTATGAAATACCCCAAGGAGTAGCAGCCGCAGGACTTAGGTCTTCCTCAGGAGCCTGTGGATGGTACACACTTC